CTATGTCAGCCAACATTGCCCATTGGTCGAGGAAGGCGATGACTAGGCATACGTAGCACATGTCCTCCCACTTACCTAGCACTCGACGCCTAACCTCAATATTGCTCACCTTATTATACCACTTCACACGGGAGATAGAACGCAGACACCTATGATCAAAGACAGCTAATCTTTTCATGTCTTCCAATCTCAATGGCCAGGTCTCACAGCCATAAAGGAGGACGAAGCGGACTGCTGTGTAGTACACCTGCCCTTTGGTCTACGCCAGAGACGGCGTAAACTGGCATATGCGAAACTAGCCCTCTGTATTCGTGCTGAGATTTCGTTAGAGATCAACCCGTTGTGGCTGATGGTACTTCCTAAGTAAGTGAAGCAGTCAACGTGCTTTTCCACTTCACTTCCTATTTCTAATCTAGGGGTCGGTGTAGTCCAAACCTGTAACATTATTTTGCATTTGGCAGGAGCGAATGGCATGCCAAACATTCGTAGATTGCAGCTCAAGGTATTCAGAAGACTCTGCATTTTAACAGCGTCCTCGCCTAGAAGGACTATATCGTCTGCATATTCTAAGTCAACGAGATTAATCCCTGGTAGCAAGTCAATCCGTGAGTCGCTGAAGCGAGTTAGGGTTAAGTCGATTAGTACATCTATGATGAAGTTGAATAGATTTGGGGATAATGGGCATCCTTGACGGACGCCACTAGTCGTCACCACTTCAAATGACATTTCGCATGATCGTATATACACTTGGGATTGATATAGTTCAGTTGGAAACCACTCTCCCACATTTATTTATTTATTTATTTAGACTCAGAAAAAACTTGGTACAATATAGCACCAAGAAAGATGCGCCACACTATAATAATAAAACAACATAGATTAAAAGTAAAAATATAAGTAGAAAACGGATAAAGAACTTCATCTGGAAGGAAAACAGTCATGTTTAACAAGTTCAAACAGTATTCGTTAACTATCATCAGCAAGGGAAGAAGGAAATTGCAACACGTGTTAAATAGTACTTGGTAGCCAGAACGAAGTAATATCTAAACACAACATGGGACAGCCCTATTTCATTCGTTCGTGAAACAGTTCATCAGTGGTGTGTATGTCGTGTATCGTTTGACTCGGCCTGGAGAACCGAATCAGAAAAACTGAAATGGCTTCTCTACCTAAACTATGTTCACATTCATCCTCTTAATTATTTGTTCTGTAAATAATTCATTACTCTTCTACATATCGCATCAGTTAACTCGATGTCACAACACACACACAGTGATATAGTACTAGAAACTGGATAACATTTTGAGTACAGCTGATTGCTACTCATGATCAGTATCAATGCAAAATGTCATCCAATTATCAATACTGAATCACTGTGTGTGTCCTGTGACAACGTTCCTGCTAGAAATAATCGGCAACATCATCAACGTTATCCATTCGAAACCAATCTCATTTGTAGGTGTATTTCGTAAAGATTTACACCCTGAGCGGTCGTCACACATCATGAAGCAGTTTATTCAATTCCTAATTGTTTCAGATAGCCAACTGAAAATGATGAGGGATGACACGCGTCTTACAGTTGTCACGAGAGCTTCAGCAACCAAATAGACGGGAGCACCAGCACCAACGCGTTCGGCGTAGTTGTGTGATTGCTGGTGGAGGTGTGGTGAACGAGATTTCCAACTGTACCATGAAAACTAGGATGGGATACGCTAATTTCAGCCAACTGTGGTGCTGTCACGATGTTAGCCTGCCTGCTAAAATCGGGATTACAGTGCTTCGGTGCGCGCTGAGGGTGTACGGCGACTCTGCGTACTCGACCGTCGCTGTCTCCGGAGAATAGCTTGAGTTGGATGGCGTCATTGCGTGAATAACTTTGAGGTCCGCATGCGCGTGTTTGGACTAAGTGGAGATCGCTATTTATTAAGTGTCGTCATCTGGGAACACCAACTTCGGTGGCTTGGACATGTGTTACTAATGTCATCCCAGAGGCTTTCGTACCGGTCTCTGTTCGTTAGCACTGAAACCTGATGGTAAGGGCGAAGAGGTGCCCAGGCTATGACGTGGCGTCGGAGGATGAAACATATTTGTGGTAGGTTAGCACCGGGTGGTACGTCGTGACTTCTTGGTTTCGGTCCGAGAGATAGCTCGAAACGTTATCGGATTTGGTCAAGAATTGCATTCACCAATGGTGAACGTGCTGCAATTTCCTTCTTCCTTTTCTCACAGTAATTCAACAAATACTGTTTGATCTTATAGCTGCTTCCTTTCCTGATGAAGTTCATATTCATTCTCTACCTTTTTTCCATATGTTGTCGTCTCATTATTATTATGTGGCGTATCTTCTTGGTGCTCATATCGCACCAGGTTTTGTATTTTAAACATTAAAAATAATAATAACAATAACAAGTTATGCTTGCTCAACAGATGATGTACGCGACTAACTGGGAACTAAAGACCAGCGCGAGCAGATCGAGGTTTAGCCTTAGGACAACACTTCCCACCTTTGCCGCAAGCACTCATGATTTACTTAAGGGCAGAGAAACGTGTATAGATGGGTAAAGTATCTAAATCTCTCTGTGAAAATGATTACAGCTGTTATGATTTCAAGTTTGGTCACCGATCGATATCAGTTAGAGAATCATTGAAAACCACAGGGGGAAGGACTGGACAGCTAGACTTTTCGTCCTAGTTTGGGAATCATAGGCAGTACGCACCCACTACAGTGGTTCGAACCCAGGACCATCCCGTTACAAGTCGAGCTCGTGGACCATTCTCTGCTAGCTAGAGGGATCCCACTCAACAGCTGTCCAGTACGCCACATATTTGTCTTCAATAGTTCTTAAAACTGATGGCGTGATCAAACTTTTACCATTATTATCTGATTATTGGAACTGAATTATCCAGAACAGATCATCCAAGAGACAGGCTAAGAGGCACATTTATCCCGTGCTGGTGGATAATACCAATCAGTTGTTTAGGCTGAATTAGGTGGGGCAGGAATCGAACCCCTGGACACTTGATGTTTGCTAGTCATTAATATTTACTTCAGTATTCTTGGTGAGTGTGTGTGTACTACTGACAAGATTTTTCAGTAGTATATAGGGAGACACTGATCATCGGTGCACATAAGTGTCAAATTGTAGAGAGAGAGAGAGAAAGGAAATGAGCGACGAGTATTGAGGCAAAACATGTGAGACATGAAAAGAGGACAAAGAATTGTAATATGAAGGGCAGGAGTAGCGCGCACAACACGGAAGATCTGTACACGTGACAATTTTCATACGCAAGGTGTACATAATTTCGTTATATAATAGAGATATCAAATTCCAAATGAAAAAAACATTCCTTTACCAAGTCTCTTGTCTTCTATCGTTACATTCTTGCATCGAAAGTAATTGGAAAACTGAGACCTAAGTCACTGCTCTACATACACACACTTTGTGTATTGCACAATATCGCCACAAACCGTGTACAGTTTGAAAAATGAAATTCAGTATAAAAACTTAAAACGACTCTTTTCTTCATTGATATCATGAAAACTTTAAATTCAACTAGGTTTCTGTCATATATATATATATATATTGTAGGCGCTGGAATGTATCAAACATTCTTATTTGAATTAATATCTGAAATTCTTTAAGAGCTAGAATTTAAACAATTTTTTTCTTCAATGTATCAACTTTGGCAAAAGTGTTATACATCAGGCTATGGATGAGCCTGACTGGTAATGACTAGTAATAAATATGCAACCTAGTTAGACTGTGAATTATCCAAATCTACTGACCAACGTCGATCACAACAATAACCATACCATCGACCTTCTTAAAAAGCTTTTTAACTATCTCAAATATAACATTCAAAACACACTATATACAGTGATGCTACATATATGTATATATGTACGTTTTAAATAATAACCTTGATAAAAAAACACTTATCCTTCTCGAGATTGGAATCAGAGTCACCTAGTGTGCTGCAGTCTGAGACAACGCTATCACTCAGCTATTCTCTTGCAATCACGATTGACACCACCGCCTGTAGGTGGTGTAGTGGATATTTTCACCTACTGGACACTAGGTAGCAGTAGTGTTGATGCCATGGACTCGAATTCCTTTGTTTGGTACAAACTGAATTCGATATAGAAAAAATCCTCATTTAGACATTTAGAAAACAGAAGGATTGAGCGGAGAAATATTTACTTTTCAATTAGATCCTCATCTCTATCTGGCTCTACTCTAATATACACCTAAAGCACTTTTTATTACAATACACAACAGTTTACCAATCAAGTGGCACTGATATGTTTGTTAACAATAATTAAACAGTGTCAGCAAGGGACAAATAAGATCTATTCGTAGTTCTATTTTAGCACAACTTGTTGATACCCAGCATAAGATTGATGTGAATATTGCATTTAAAATTATTTATCGCATTCCGACTAATCTTAACTTTGCTCTACGAGTTTGTCTTCTACATACAACAGCTGGAGCAATCGGAATCCACCAGAAGAAACCAAGCCTATGTGTTCAGAAGAAATTTGTACAGCCACTTTCCTTACCTTGGCCATCATTACAAGAATGCATAAACAGGACTACGTCGCCTCCTCCCCCTATTAAATTATACTTGTCCGAATTATTTTATTTTATTTTTATCTATTTTGACCACTTCATCTTTAATTACGTGTTATCTTTGTAAAATTAATTTATTCTATCCATTTCTACCTTATAAATGTGTATTGATTTTCTTCGTTAATTATCACCCCACTGCTTGACATTTTGACACTGACTAATTATTGTTAACAAACATATCAGTGCCACTTGTTTGAGGATCTAATTGAAAAGTAAATATTTCTTCGCCCAATCTTTCGGTTTTCTAAACTGAATTCGATCAGTTAAACTATACTGTGACGACAGAATGCCAACAACAACAACAACAAAAAAGGCAGTCAGAAAAAGACTAACAAGAAAACACATAAACTGCACAAAAAAAATACTTACCGACATAAATTAAAAATTGTATAAAGTACTTTTGATTACATTCACCAACACAATTATTGATCCTAAGATTTCAAGAAAAAAAAAACAAAAAATATTCTGTAATAATTAATTAATAATTAAGAACAGCACATGTAAGTAGGCGTGAATACTATTGTATTTACAATGAAATCTAGTAGGCAGGCTTTACTCTAGCATATAGACACAACATTACAATAACAAATATAAATGTAATGAACGATATAAAACTAGTTATGGTGATTTGTCAATAGGATGATAAGATTGTGAATATAAATTGTACAATTAGCCATAATAATTAATATTTTTAAAACAATTAGTTCCTTTTATGAATTTAGATAAGGCAATAAGAAGACGTAATTTGTCTGAATCGTGTGATGTATGTATTTCCGCAACACATTTCGAACAATCTGATTCAGCACACATGGACTTGTCATAGGAATGCTTATATATGAAATTAATAAAGAGGTAAGAGGTGAGAAAATAAACTACTTAGGTCAAGTTAAAAGGACATATTGCTGCATAAAGTCTTTTTAACAGCAGCATTCAGTCTTTGTCTAGTTATCAAGCTGCTTTGATGCCCCATATAGAGTAGCTTGATGTACACGTCTTTCTTAGGGGCGAGTTGGAGAGTGGGTCTTGGTGTTCTGACTACTTTATATCTCCTGATGAACTTGTCTGGATAATTGTTATCAAGCAGAGTTTGTGTCAACTTTCTTTCTGCTTCATCAAGTGTGTCTTCAATGCATATTCATTGGATTCTACTGAATGCTGCTGTCAAAAAGACTTTTATGCAGCCGATATCATAATAATAGAGAATGTAAAGCCAATATATCTATCTATGCCCTTCGAACATGCAAAAAGTGATGTCACATCCCACTGTATTTACCGATTCGAATGTACGTGTGGGCACACATACACAGGGAGGACTCATCGATCTCTGCCAGCAAGTAAGGGCTGGCTTCAGAGCATATTCCTAAATGGCTCCGGAAACAAATGGAATCTTCAGAACCTATTAACGGTGAGAACAGGAGACCTAGCTCTTCTATTGAGAAATATGTTATAGAGACAGGACATAAAATTGACGTTAACACACTTTTTAAACCTATCTATCTATAAAACGTGTTTGGGGGAGTGCGTATCCTAAAGTTTGTGGAAGCCCTAACTGGCAATTAGAAAGTTTAAGCCACCTTTATGTGTTCATCAAAAACAATTCGTCATCACATTAAACCTTCCTTGGTAAAATTTTGTTTTGGTACCATAGCAGATGTACTATTACCTCTGCTATTTGGTTCAGTGATCTTCATTGTTATTTTGACCTTCAATATGGACTTTTAACTTGACCTAAGTAGTCTATTTTCTCACCTCTTACCTCTTTATTAATTTCATATATATTCCCATGACAAGTCCGTGGAGTGTGATCAGATTGTTCGAAATGTGTCGCGGAAATACACACTACACGACTCAGACAAATTACGTCTTCTTATTGCTTTATATAATAATAATAATTTCACTAATAACAAAGATGAAAAGCTGGAGCACTTTGTGATAATAATAATAATAATAATAATAATAATGAGGATACTGGAAAACGTTATGATTCAACAAACAAATATTCAGACACAGATTTAGACAATCAAGGTTAAGAAAAACAAATAAATCGATTAAATAATGCTAGATAGTAAGACTGATTAATAATAATAATAATAATTTGCTCTATTCCAAAACAGTACTTGTGATACAGAATGGAATTCTCAGCATTTTTACTACAGTATTGCATCCAGTTACTACATTAACAATAAATAGAATTCTACATAGATTAGGGAAATCTCAGTTCATTATGACAACAACATATTGACATATCGGTAGCAAAGCCAAAGTTGAACAGAGTGTTTGAAGGTGTTAGAAAATTAGGTGCTATCATATTTACTGACATAAGCGGAAGAAAGAAACAAAGTAGCACATAACAGAAAATAAAGAGAGAGAAAAGGAAAAGAAAGAAGGGAAACGTTGTACCTATAAATGATATGAGTTGGAATGACGAGATCCAGTTGTTCTACCGACTATATAATAAGTTATAGGTATCACGCCTAATGCTTTCTTTATCGCACAGAACACGAGCTAAGTAGGGTATGGTTGAGTTTTCGTACTTGCTGGTGCGAGCATATAGTTTTCTATATAGGCTTCTGTTCTCCTGTCTGATGAGATGCAAGGGGAGAGTTGTGAATGAAGAGGGTCGTGTGAGTTAGACAGAATGGATTTAGCCCATTTTTCACATGAGTCCAAATGCCTGTCGACCAGAATATTAACAAGCTGGTTAAGTGGCACGTTGCTTACCCTGCTGACAACCTTTAACATCCTGCGTAATAAGGTATAGTCTTTCTTCAGTAGCCCGGGAAAAACTAAAGGGGGAACAATAGAGAATAATAGGCAGAATGTGAGAGTTAACGAATTGTAGGAGTAAGGGTTGGGTTATACCCTTGTTGACCGACTGAGTTTCAACATAGAAGTTTAACACAGAAATGCAACAGTTCGAATTGTCACACTCCACCACCACCATCATATAGTAGCACGCAAAGGAAGAGAAAAATGAGAGAGAAGAATGGAATTCAAAAGTACTCTAAGGAGCGGATATGTGAGGTAAGAAGAGAAAGAATAGTAACAGGGAAAAACATGAGAGTTTACTGGATATAGGGGATTACAAAAGGATGAAGTGTATTTGTACCATTGAGAACGATTTTGAATTATATTAGCCAATAACCATCCTGAAGACCGCAACCAAGCAGTCTAAAGGTCCATACATGACTGGTTGGCCTACACTAACTATTGTGGATTTCATTAACTGATGAAGCCATGTTTTGGTTTGACCACCAACCACTAGCTAACTCTTTTCCAGCCTGATCTTATGTTGGCTAACACTGCCCGTTGTCGAGGAAGGCGATCGATGGCTAGGGATACATGCGTAACACATGTCCCAACCACCTTTCACAACCGGTGTAACTTTACAGCCTCGTCGATTGATTTCCTCTCCTTACCTAACACTCGACGCCTAACCTCGATACTGCTCACCTTATTATGCCACTTCACACGGGAGATAGAACGTAGGCACCTATGATCAAAGACAACTAGCCAACCTTTACCTGTCTTCCATTTTCAATGGTCAGGTCTTACAGCCAGTTTTAAAGGAGGATGGAGCTGACTGCTGAGCAGTACACATGCACTTTGATCGATAGCCCGCCGGATATCACGTCTACTAAGGCAGAAATGGCGTAGGTTGGTTTGCATATGCCAAACGAGCCTTCTGTATCCGTACTGGGATTTTATCAGCTATCAACCCGCTGGTGTTGAATGATACAACTTCCCAAACAAGTGAGTGAAGTGGTGAACACGCCCTACCACTTCACTCCCTATCTTTAATCTAGGAGTGGGTCGATGTAGTTCAGTCCTGTAGCATCATCTTACATTTGACAAAGAGCTAGCCTGATCTACATAAGATAACAAATTTCGGTCACTAAAACCACTGAAGCAGTTTGCTTTGTCTACCTGTATATGTAAAAAAGTATGATAGCCAAGGATAGAAGACATTATAAACTCAATTGTGTTCTTTTTTTTATCATACATGTGCACTTGTAGTGTTGCCTACGTGCAGCAGAATCACAAATATAATCATTATTGAGGTTAAACGCTAGAACCCGACCAAGTGAAGATGGCAAGTCAATCTGTTAGTCACACTGAAAGACTGACTGCCTTCGTCGATTGTCACAACAGGTGAAATATAAGTAGGTTACAAGAAACATACAGGAAAACTGAAGTCAGACATAGTATGAATTCACGACAAAAACATCTGAGTGTAGAACATAGCATAGTGAGGCATATCAGTTAAGGACGTCACACAATTTGCAACATCTCAGGAAGAAAAACAGCAAATTCAATAAAACCTGTACGAGTACATGGCTAAAAGCAGACACCACCTGACTGCGTAGTAATGTGTTCAAGTATACAAGATTATTGGAAAGCCTCTCACACTTTAACAAATTTCAAAAAGGTGGAGACTGTTATTCGCCAGTAATTTTCAGGCACCTGACCACCGATAGATGCTACTTTGACGTAGTGGTCAAACTTGTCTACATCGCATTGATCTAACGAGCTACACTAGATGGAACTAATAATTCTGTACGTCTTACTATACCGGAGAGGTTGTTGGAGAGTGATTAGACTAAAAGCAATCAACGTCTTAGTGTAAGTTGTTTACAATACGGTGGTTGTCTATGGGCGAAGTCATACTGATAAAGTAAATGGACGTAACAGCAGTAAGGTGTGTTTCCCTCAGATAATCGGTAAGCCGGCTGTGTTGTCTCTCCGCTCTGGAGATGAGGAGCAGAGTGATTAACGAAGGTCAACCTCGAAAGTTGTATATCCAGACTTGCTTTTCGGTGTTCCACAGCCAATGGTAAGATTTCAATACAAACACAACGCCAGAAACCAATTCGAAAGGGCCACATGTGACCGGCCACAAGCGATTCTCCCCTAGGCTCTTCTGTTATGCAACACAAATCCTCTTTCTGTTGCCCGTTCCCTGAGGAAAAGTCAATATCCACAGAGTGGGCAATCAAGAAGTAACAACCGTCCACACACTTCTAAAAGCACACAAAACTCTTCTGATCATCCTCCATCTCCAAATTAGTCAGAACTCAGTCAGTCAGGACTGGCTATCAGCCACATTTAGTGTGTGGGCCAGGGTGATGAGATTATCAAACCACTCATGCTGGAGTAGATAGGGTGGGATTCAAACTCTGGACAAAACTAGTTGAGAATCGAGTCCCAAAAGCCAAAAAAATACATTTGGACACACACATCTTGTGAGGGGAAAAATACAACCAACACTACGATAGTAAACGAAAAGTGTCGATGACAACTTAAAGGAGAAATCAAACTGCAATATATATATATATATTCATTCACTAAATAACTCACCATGGACAATGATGATCCATTCGTCTTACACAACGTCGACAAATACGACAATGATGAGCTCGTGGTGGACGATGTATGCCACATTTATTGCATGTAGTCCATCCTTCAGGTTTCTGTAAAATAAGATATACAGTCCTTCAAGTAAGCCAAAATAAAAACAAAGTATTTTTTAGAAACCAAGAACAAATATGCCGAAGGAAATGGAGATGAATCTGGCGCAGACTGAGGAGACCGTTGGGTGACATTGTGTACCACGCCCTCCAGTGGAAGGCGAGTTGGGCGTAGGTTCAAGAAAGACAAAGAGGATATAATGTGGGATGGAGGAAGTTAATGAGCTAAAGAGAACTTCCGAGAACAGGATGTGAGATGGAGATGTGCTGTTGAAGCCCTATGCTCCACTCGAAACCCAAGGGAATAATAATAATAACGACAATAATTTAAAACTCGGTAGTTATACACTGTTGTTATTTTCAAGTCTGACTGCTTTTTTACAGCTGAACTACTGCTTTGCAGAGATTCCTTGTATATTATGTTACCAATTTCAAGGACGGTTGGAGGTTGACAATGAAGTTTGTCTAACTGATAACAGTGAAGTGATTCCCTCGGTTACCAACAACGCAGTCAATGGTGTCGCTTGATTCCAGTTGTCACAAAAGATCATTCGAAGTTATTCCCAAGAATCCAACAATTAAATTTCATCTGCAACCATGCATTCTCTGTAGGAAAGTTCTTCGCACACGAACATAAATTCACGAGGGTTTTAACAAGCAAATGTTGCATGGCTTCCATCGAATCGCACAAAACTAATCTATTCTCTGGTTACAGGATTTCATCATGAACTGACATTGGTTAGAGAACCATTGGAAAACCACCTGGGAGTACTGGACAGCCAGCTGTTTCGTCAGCCTAGTTTGGGACTCTTCATCAGTACTCACCTACCGGGGTTTGAACCCAGGACCTTCTGGTTACAAGGCTAGCGAGCTTGTAGACCATTCAGCCACTGGGAGCCGATCGAATAGCCAGTCCATGAATTCTAACTTCTGCCAATTCACGATATAGTGCAACCAGTGGGTGACCAGTAGGGTGCAGCAGGTCGGGTGTGAGGACAAATACTCGCCGAAGACATTGACTAGCGGTTGCGCTATGTCACGAATTGACCAATAAAAAACAACCTGCAACGACTGTCAGGTCAAATACATAGGTGAAAGTAGTTTAACCGGGGCAGTCAGACTAGTGGAGCATAAAAATCCAGCAAAATTTAGATTATTTGACCCGAATAAGATAAGAAATCTGGAGAATAGTTCAGATATAGCTCTACACCACATGCAATTATACACAACCATACAGCATAGATGATGGGATAAGATGAGAGTTTTAAAATCTAATGTAACAGGGTGGAAGGAGAGATTGATGATGGAAGCTCTATTTGTCGAATCAACTGCAAACACGTGTAATAGGAATGATTCAACACCTGTCCAGCCAGAAATCTGGAAAATTCTACTACCCCTACGATGACAAATAGGAAAGACTGAAGAGAACTATAAAACGAAAGTTTTGAAGTTATATGGTTATAATTGATATGATTGTGAACAAAAATAAATTGTGTTCGAAACTGTGTCATCCAGTAAATAATACTTTCATTGTGTGATATATGTAACAAGCAAATTAATATGAAATTATGTACGTATTCAGTTATGTCATCGTTTGTGTTATACGAGATCAGTTTGCATAACTTCTGTCGAACAATTGTATTCCTTGAATAACAATGAATTTTTACCGAATCTATTGCTATTGGCACAACCTTTCGTGTAAGCTGTGTACGAAAGAGTGATACTATATGGCACTGTCAAAACCAGAGTGCACGATACTTATGACCCTCAGAAGAATCCACACTGCGAAGATCCTCAAATGCAATGAGATAGAATACTAAAGAGTGACTACTAATTAATAGCTTATCTGATAACAAATGGTAAAATGCTCTCCAACCACTCACTCATATGACGCACTCTCAAAACCTCACCCAGAAATAGGAGAAAGTCGAGCGTGAGGCCAGCTAACCTACCACCCCGTACAAAAACAACATCACCGCTACTGACAATTCAAACGCTTGAAGCCCTATCTTCCATTCAGAATGCAAGGAAGGAAGATAAAGTTAAAAATGAACATCACTAAATATTCATGTACTAACTGATTAAAAATGCCTACTAAAATTTTTCTAAAGAATGGTTACTGAACAAAGAGTACCCTTTTCGATAACCTCTACATCATCAGGTTCTACATTTATATATAAGTATAATAGTGAATGAATGAATTAGTGTTAGTAACAACATTAATGTTGTTTAGATAACATCGAATCAATAATATCAGCCGTTGTTCTAGGAACTTGATTTTCCGTGTTCGAGAAAACCTCCCAGGATGGCTGAGTAAAGGTGTAGTAAAAACCATCAAGCGTTCGATATTCGACCACCTAGTCCAAACCTGCCACAAAGCCAGCATTGAAGAATCCTTCTCTATTATCTGCCGGATACCAAATAGATTGCCAAAAACATCAAGGTACCGCATGCTCCAAACAGTAGAGACTATCGCGATTCGCGTGAAACAACCGGTGCTCTGTGTGCAAAAGAGGCAAGTCCAGCCACTACTGCCCTGGCGGGTCTTCAGTGGAGACTATGAATTCATGAATTTGTATTATTATTTTCCTCAATTTTCTGACATTCAGTTTATTGTTATGTCGACGCTATCGAAATGTAATCCATTGATATTATTATTATTGATTCGATGTTATTTAAACAACCACATTAATGCTGTTAATAACACTAATTCATTTATTCATTCACCATTATGTATATATAACTGTAGAATCTGATGAAGACGAGGTTATCGAAAACAGTATTCTTTGTTCAGTACCCTTTCTTTTGAAAAATATTAATTTACTAAATGTAAATAAAGTGATAAAAATGAATTTTAAAATGTTTTTTGGCAACCATAGTAAATCAGACCATTACAAAAAGAAAAATAGTGAGTCTACAGGAAAATTATTTACCTGGAGGGTGCTTAAGTATTCTATAGAATACTGATATAAGGGCATTACACCTGGGTCGGTTAGAACAGCACACATATGGGAGAATAATAAGAGAGAAGCCACGATATTAAAACAGATTGTATTTATTATAGCCCAGAAGCTGTAAAGGCAGAAAAAGAATTGAATGTAAACAATTAATTACATACATATGTTGCTAAAACAAATGTATAAATCTCCACAAGCAAAACTGTTGTAACTATGAGGAGAAAGGTTAGACAAACAAAATGTTTTTTTGAGGCGGTATGCGTCGGTGACACAGCGGTAGAATGCTCACCAACCACGCCGCATGTGGTTCGGGGTTCGATGCTTGGCCACCGACGCACTCCTTTACACCTTCGCTAAGCCAGTAATAAAACTAGTAAACAGGGAAGGGTGGGCATGAGGCTAGCAACCCCATCCCGTAAAAATAAACACCACTGCTACCGAAACTTCAAGCCTTTAGCTTGAAGCCCTATGTTCCACTGGGAACATAACGGAATAAAAAACAGATGCGTTAACCTAGATTACTTGAATGTATATTGCACTGATGACAGATTAAATTACAAATCCTTCGCACACGTAGATAAGTAAGAGAACTACGATAACTCACTACTAATATTTAAAAGTTGTAGTCAATGATTGAGGGTTTTCCTTTCTTGGTGGGGTAAGGGGACTATTTGTCAATGGTGCTTTTAGTTGAAATCTTTTTGGGGTTTCTGAAGTTGCCAACTGACTGACTGGTTTCAACACAGAACTTTCCACCAATGTGCAGCAGTTCGAGCCGCCACACTTTATGTAGCACATAATGCAAGAAAAGAGTAAAAAGAGATTCAAAACAGGGATATGAGACAAAAAGAATAGTAATGTGGGAGAACAATATAGTTTATTGGATGTTAAAAGTAACTGGGAGTGGATGCATCTGCTCCAGCCATTGCGAACGATTTTGAGCCATAGCACCAATTGTCTCCAGGCTTCATTGGTTTTTACCATCCCGAGGACCCCAGATAGTCAGGAAGCCTACATCTTCCTACGTGGCTGGCTGGCCTAAACTAACTGTTGTGGATTGCATTGACTGATGAAACCATGTTTTCGTTTGACCACCACTGGCTCTTTTCCAGCCTGACTCTATGTCAGCTAACATTACCTATTGTCGAGGAAGGCGATAGCTAGGGATGCATGCGTAACACATGTCCTAACCATCTCAGTCAATGTAACCGCACAGTTGAAACTGCCAACTGCAAAGACAATGTCAAAATACTGTATAGCAGTTTGCTCTATTCTTTATGATTGCGAGAGATAGCCACTGGAAGTGAGATACTTGAAAAAGCTAGTTGTGTTTGACCACGGATGTTGGCGTTGTACCTCTTCTTTTAAGTGGTGTAAGACATATTGATGTTAGACATAGTGCTGGGTAAGAAAGGGGGGTCATTCGATGAGGTTTTGGAGTCACATCGATTGAAATGGTTAGGACAATTGTTCGCATCTCGAGTCACTGTCTTCTTCAACGAGCAATGTTAGTCGATATATGAAAAGGATTGGTGGTGTTTAATAAATGCATGAATTTTTGACTGACTTGGTTAGAGCCACGTAGGGAGGTTAAAACTATCTGATGGGAGTCCTAGGGATGATAAGAACCAATAGCTTGAGAATTGGTTATACAGCTCAAAACTGTTATCAGTGGCGCAGATACAATGACCCTTTTTAGTATCCCGAATCCTGTAAATCATAATGTTTTTGCATGTTACTATTCTTCGCCCTACAGTTGTATATACAATGTACTTCGAGTAATCGTTAACGACAATATTGACGTGCATTTTTTTTAATAATATTGAGTTATTATGATCAATAAAACTGCAGTTCAAAAAGCACATGTGAGTTATAATATGCAGAAAAAAGTAATGCTTAATTGATTATCAGATAAAATTAAGAAAATTCATGAATCAATTAAAGATAGCTAAATTAATGGTAGCTTATATATGGCTGAGGGATCAAGTAATCATGACCAAGGTAGGGAAAGCGTCTGAACGAACTTCTAGATTGGGACTACTTTAATTATATAACTGCAGAGCCAGATAAGGGAGTTAAGGAATAGAATATTCCCAGGTGTAATCTATTTTCGTCAGTTTACATAGTGATTAAAAGGGTGGCAGTCACCGGAGAAAATTATATTTCAGAGGATTTCAACTTCATGAAAGTAAGTGATTCACGTTAAATTCCATACACCTGATAAAGAAATTTTTTCATGGCAAGCTTCAATCTTCCATCGAAAAAAGGTATCTAACTTCCTGATTCTAAAGCCTAAACATCACTCAACAATCATTTGTATTTCTTTGCGTTTAGTACTGGGGCACACCTTTGGTGTGAGGGCTGATGAAACTGAATGGTTGCTCAAACCTAGACGGATGGAGCAGTACTTAAACCAGACACTCAGTGATCCAAATCTCAGTGGCCAAAGCACTAGGTCATAAATGAGATGGAACATGCTGAAACTTTAACATCAAATATTGTGCTTTGTATCACGTGTATTTTCAAGAAAGGAAAATGAATCTTGTTCATTGAAAGGTTTCTCCTCATAGCCTTTTCAACTTAATTTTCACTAACTAACACTGAACATCCCTTTTTTTATCAAACCGAAAGTTCTACCTGCAATTCCTTAATAATATCATGACATCTTTGAACTACTTGACTATAATGGAAGATGTTATGGGATTAGGCATGAGCTCAGTTTGTTACAATGAAGATGACGTTAAGCACTGAGAACAACATTTTCCTTTGTATTATAAATGCGAAAAACCAGAGTGTGTGTGCAGGTGCGAAGTAGACTACAGGTTACACAAAGCAATCTTAATGTGCAACAGAAGATGAGAGAAAACGAGGTGAAACACCCAAATTCTTCCACAGACATACAAAGGAATTCTTCTTCATCTGTCCACCGGAATCGCTTCCCTTTAACTGTTAATACCACCATCCTACACTGACAAGTGAACTTTCCAAGGAAGTCATTACTATTGTTACTTTCTCATTCTCTTTTGACTCTAAATTGCCCTAACTACTCGTGTTAGAGAATTATATTATCTAGTCACTTAAAGCCACTCTAGCAAAATAGTAGAGGCTTTTGGCATGCGAATCTTATGAGAAGTTGTACAACCGGCTTTGCTGGTCAAAACCCTGTTATCTTAGTTTTCAAATTTACTTGCACTTCTCAGACACAAAAATCATACTCTACTGTGATTATTCCTTTAATTCAGTCTGACTAGCACTGTGAACCTGTAAAATCCACCCTACGAATGTCAAGAGACTCTCCAACTAGGTCGATCGGAAATATTGTTAAGTACTTCAGAGTACACTGAGGTACATCCACAGCCAAACAACAGAGATAATTAATATAAGTGATTGCATCAGCTATAATTTGATACTAATGAACAGTGCGATTGTACAATGTAAGGAGGCTGGATCACATTGGAATTTTAGGTGCAGCACAGAAACTGTATCATTCCAGCGTTGATTTACGATGTACTTCAGCTTACAAGCTAAAATAACGTATACAGGCTATGGAATTCTATAGTCCATCTATGAATAACATACTAAAATTCACATCAGTATGCTATTTTTCTCCTGTACTGAGTGCTTCAAGCAATGATTCTGAGAATCTAATTTGCTTAGTAAGCTTCCAGTAAAAGAATATACTGAAGATCTATTGAAAAGAATGAAAACATGGAACTCTAGTGAATAAAATCCTACATTTACACAGAAATATTACCTATGTTTGAGGACAGGAAGTACTAGATGGAAGACAACAACATAGTCGGAGTAAACGACAAGTGCCTGTGTTATCAGAATGCACGCAACACCACATGGGTCTAGTCTGAAAACCATAACCCTTCATAACTTTTGATAACAGCGCCTTCCAGCATACAATATCCAACACTTGTAGGATGACCTGGTATCCTTCAATTCAGACTGCACTATTATTTATAATGCGATTCTTCTAGAAAATGTCTTTATCAGTGTGCAAACTTCCTTTCAAGCCTTCAAAAAGGGACTGAAGCTGAAACAGCCTGCATTGTAGACGAAAAGCAGAGAATAATGAAACAGTTTACTGATGGGTGATGGCCATGACAAGAGGGATAGGAGTATTTTCAATACCGTTTTTTACTACTGATTGGTCTAAATCATAGCCGCACACAGCGCCACTAAACATTCTCATAGTCTCCGTTTGATTATTGGGCAATTGCTACACCTTTATTTTTTCGAGTTTCACTACGAATTGATATCATTTAGAGTACTATTGAAAACCAGGGTATGCGGGCTTGTCGTATAACCGGAAGGTCCTGGGTTCCAACCCTGGCGGTAGGTGCGTACTGCCTATGAATCCCACACTAGGATGAAACAGCTGTCTGATACTCCCTAGTTTTCAATGGTTCTCTAACTGACATCAAACTCGAAAAACAAATCTAATCCTTACACATCCACTCTCTGAAATATATTTATTTTGCTCACTGCAGTGGACAGAGTGTCCGGGAGTGAAATAACGAAGGTACCATCTGAAATTAACTATCTAACTGGCGACCCCTCCCAGACTGGCAAGATTGCAAGCCCACAGGTTCACCTAATTTTGTCAATTCCATTTGCCACTGATCTCAGAGGGAGTGATTTGGTCGCCAGAAAAAATTAGCAGTTAATGTGTTTGGCAGTGGATAAGCAGGGGAAACTGAAGGTTTGAGGGAGACGCAAAGAATGCAGGTTACATGACTGGTGGCCGCAGAGGGAAGTGTGCGTCGGTGGCACAGCGGCTAGGACTCTCGCTGACCATGCACATGGTCCGAGGTTCGATCCCCACCGACGCACACTGACGCACACTTTTAGTTGTAGATACACACACCCTAGCTAGTTATGTAGTTGTCACCGCCTCACATTTTTGGTTTCGTAGTATATGTATTTTATACAATAATAATGTTGTTTTGATTTGATCCCTGTCTAAGTACGGCATTCACTTATTCAGCTGGTGGACATACACTTGCATTTACTTATGAATTATTTTGCGTAACAGTCGACATTCTTCATCCTCTAGAAATAGCGTTTAGCAAAATTAATCCCAATAAACCCGGAACTTCCGTGCTTCCATGTAGATTATCGAAGTTCGTTGAAGTCATGTTTTGTCTTTCAGACTTTCGTTTGTGTCAAGACATTTTATATGGTGTTGTAAGACATTCGGGGATGAATGAACTAACTACTGAGAATGACAGCGTGTGGTCCCGCTATTTCGCGGATCGATTTCTCGTTCCATATGGTAAGGCACTGGTCTAATTTACGTTTTTATGAAATTTTAATGGGGTACCACCATTACCTCTAATAGTATTGGCTTAATATGATCAGAGACCTTTGCAAGTTTTTGCACCCAATCAGTGACCTTAACTATATGGATGGATACCGTATAGGATTACTCCCCATGTTTTGTTGCTTTCGCACACTTCGTTCTAAAATGCATTCCACTGCAGTAGAGGAGTTATTCGGTGCTAATACACAAAGTGACCTAAATGAGTATCAGAACCAATACGATGACGATGTCGTTAATATTCACAAGTTTCCTTTGAACACAGTGGTATAGTTTCTACATTACATTTTTGCATTAGAAAGTTGAATCTCTCATAGGTTAAAGACTTCAGCCAACTTCTTAGGCAACTGAAGTCTTAGCTATACCAATTAACAGATTTTCCTGTGCTTGTTTCCTGCTGATAAGCCAAAGTCAATTGAGCAGTGGTTTCGTCAAACAGTATACTCTTTCGCAACAGTAGTAGCAATCTCAATTTAACTGAACCTACGTTTGACTTAGTTCTTCAGTATACTTACTGAGAATGTTTCTGTTTCTTTAGGACCTCTGCAAGACAATATACTGTGGCTACTCAAATCCACTTAGTGGTTGAAGAATTTGGGATGGGACGAGTAGCTAAGTAGGGACTATATCTTCCTTATGATTTGCAAGGTTTATTGAATGATGAACGCCCTTCTGTGTGTTTGACTAAGAGTGGGATCATTTGTATTTCACACAATTCGCCGTTAAGAAACTCTTTGCTGAACTACGCGTTTCGTTTTAATTAATGCCTGGATGGGGTTTATTCATGAATTAAAACGTAGCAAGGACCCCTCGACAGTCAAGGAACTCAATGGGCTTCTGCGGTACTTTGTCAAGCTTGCTGTGAGAAATGCGAAATTTGGATTTTTCGAGGATTGCGTCACCAATCATCAGTATCCAAAATGGTTCTGGAAAGCAGTGTGACGCAATCAAATACAGTTTACAGTTTACAATTTATTTAGGATAATAGGCTACATGCCTGTGTTAATCCTTTCGATTTGTTACACACAAGAGGTCCAATCTCGCCTTGAATGAATCAACGGATGGCGCTGATACAACGTGTTCCGGTAGGGAGTTCCAATGGTTCGCAATTCGATGCGAAAAACGGACCTCCAGACGCAGGCGATTCGACCGTGGTTTTTGAACCTTGAGGTGATGTCCTCGCAATTGGTTGGTGCTAGAAGGAAGAAATAAATTAGATAAATTTGCTCCAAAATCATTTCTTAGGATACGGTATGCTAGTATGCTAAGTCGTCTGCATGACAGTGGAAATAAACCCAGTCGACTTAACCTCTCTTCATATGAGAGGGTTGAGAAACCCTTTATTAGCTTAGTTCCTACTCTTTGCACCCTTTCTAATAAGTCTATTTCGTATTTGAAACACGGGCTCGCTGCCTGGATCCCATATTCCAAATGAAGTCTGATATAAGTCGAATGTACTATACGAAATATTTCACTGTCAAAATTCGCAAAAGCTTTGCGTATGGCTCATAATATTCGAAAACCCTTAGTGGCTGCAGCTCCACAGTTTGTTGCTGTTTTCAAGTCATGCTGCACAACCACTCCTAAGTCCTTGTACTCAGTGACCACTGGGAGAGTAATGCCATTCATTGAGTAATTGTGCACGTGGCTATAAGATACATGCATAACTACACTCTTGCTTAAGTTAATGTCCAAGGCCCAGTGCTTACACCAATCACTTAACAGGTTTAAATCTTCCTGCAAAGCAAGTTGATCACTGTCATCGTGTACAGCCCTCTATATCTTGATGTCATCAGCAAACAGTAAGCAGGATGACCTAACTACCGATGGAATCTCATTAACATAAATCAGGAAAAGAAGTGGGCCTAGAATTGTACCCTGAGGAACGCCACTCTTAACCGATTCCCATGTTGATAAAACCCCGTTAACTCGGACTCTTTGTCTTCTGTCCTTTAGAAAGTCTTGAATCCAGTCGGCAGCCACTTTATTGATTCCCATACTACCTAACTTTACTAGAAGACCTGAATGAGAAACCCTGTCAAGCGTCTTGCTAAGGTCGATGAATATGGCATCCACGGGTATATTAGCATCAGCTGAGCTTGCCCAACTTTCTCTGGCCAAAAGAAGGTTGGTCAAGCAAGAATGGCCTGCTCTAAAACCATGCTATTCCACAGCGAAAAGTTTGTTCCCTTCAATGAACTGAATAATAGCATCACGAATTATTCTTTCTAGTAGTTTAACAACAATACTGGTCAAACTAACAGGACGATAGTTCTGAACTAAGTTTCTAGATCCGGTTTTGAAGACCGAACTAATGATGGCATCTTTCCAGTCTCTTGGACATTTAGACTGGTCCAGAGACATTTCGAAGATTACCGACAATGGCTCGGCTATGTTTTCAGCCAATGCTGTTAATATCCGTGGGTGGGGTTCATCAGGGCCCCTGGACTTACCAGGATTGAGCCTTAGAAGCCACTTTAGGTCAGTATCCTTTCCAATGTATAAGGGTGCCATTTTCAAGTTACCTTCTGGAAAAGTTACAAATCTGGTATCAATATTATCAGAGAATACTTGACTAAAGTGCTTGGACAAAGCCTCAGCCTTAGTCAAGTTATCCTCAGCCATGTTTGTCTGGTCATCTTCAAGCATAAGAGGTGGGATAGCATCACTCTTACGTGTTCTTCTCTTGATATATGAGAAGAGTCTTTTTGGGCAGCCTGGTGAACTTTTGACTAACTGGGTTTCGTAAGCTATCCTTGACTGGTGAATCAAAGTTTTACACTGGTTTCTGGTTTCACAGTATTTCAGCCGGAACTGCTGTAGCCCAGTAGAAACAAAGAGATTCCAGAACCTTTTTCTCCGTCTTAGGAGTGTTATAGCTTGTCTATTTATCCATGGTGGCCGGTTTGTTGGTCTTTTAGGAACCCTCCAGGGAATGAAATCAGTGGTAACCCTCTCAAGTGTATTCTTAAATCTATCCCATTCATCTTCAATGGGTGAGACAATATTGACTGACCAGTAGGCATTTGAAGCACGCTCCTTTATAGCGACTATGTCAGCATGCCAAATACTAGGTCGGGATTTGGGTTGAAAACTGACTAAATTGCCAACCCTTAAGTTAAGATCTAACACCCCATGATCACTGTTTGCTAGAGGTGGATGAATAACTAGACCATCCACGTCGTCGTTGTCATGAGTAAGCACTAAGTCCAGCAAGGAAGATCCTTGGGTAGAACCGAATCTTGTACTACCTAAGACATGTTGTGTCAGGGCATTTTACATGGTAGTCAAGAGTAACCGGCTGTCAAACTTATTAGTGGATCCTGGAGATGTGACAGCTACCCAGGCTATATGAGGTGCATTAAAGTCACCTAGAATAAGACAGCTACTGTGTTTACTCCATTGTTTGAGGTGATCTAAAATAAAGTTATCACACTGAGAGAAGGGACTTCTATACAGAACACCAATGAGTAAAGTGCCAGCTGCAAAGCTTACTACACAGCTAATTACCTCACTTGTCCCACTGTCATGCGCTTCATAT